GGGGGCAGAGGGGGGAGGCCCCGGGGTGGGGGCAGAGGGGAAGTGCTGAGGGGGGAGGGGGCTCCCTGCTCGTTGAGTACTGGACGAGGCAGGGGCTCCCCATGGGGCCATTACTGAGGGTAACTGGCCTGGCCCTAGCACTGGTCACCCTGCTCCCCCCTCGTGTCTCCCCCCAGGTGGCTGGGCCCGCCTGTAATTACACACGCTTCACAGCCCATTAGCTCCCTCCCGAGCTCCGCCTGGCTCCTTCCTGCTGTTCCCTGTGGGCCTGGAGGGCAGTGGAGCCACTGGCGCATGAGCCCCCTTCCCCCCTGCACTGGCTGCCCAAGCCCTGACTCCGGCCCCTCGCCAGGCCCGTGGCGAGCGCCTACCTGGGGGCGAGAAACATAGGCAAGGCCAGCTAGCGTCCCTGGCCCGGTGGGGGGGGCAGAGAGCAGGAGGGGTCACTCACCAGGGACTTGTGCCTGCCTTCCTCCCCAGCCACCACCTGGACCCAGAGACTGCCAGGAGCCCAAGGCCCTCCAAGAGGAATAGCCTGCATGGCCCCAAGTGCCTGGCCCGACCCCCACGAGCAGGTAAGAACACAGCCTGCTCCCCCAGGAATCGCCACCTGCCTCCCTCTGTGCAGCCGGGCCCAGCCCCCCAACTCCGCCACCAGCAGTGACTCCCAGCCAGCGTGGGACACAGACGGGTTATTAGTCACCAGGAGCCCAGCATAGAGCAGAGCTTGTGAGCACAGGAAACCGGCAGTTACACCAAGTCCATCTTGGGGGGGGATCCAGAGCCTTATTGGGCTCCCCCCCCCGCCCAAGTCCCAGCCAGGAGACTGACCCGCTTCCAGCAGCCCACCCTCAGTCACGCCCAGGTGCTCTCCTCCTTCCTTTGTGTCTTTCCTGGGGAAACAGGTCCCCTGGCCTCCACCTCTCACTTTCTTCTTCAACCCCTCCTGCTGATTCTTGCAGAGGACGGGCCTGGGCCATCAGTTGCCAGGATACGGAGTGTCGGCCTGGTAGCCAGTCGGCATCACACCTGCCCTCTAGGGGTCTCTGCAATGATCACACACCCTTATCCCGCCCGCCTAGACACTTGAGTAACACGTAGGGGAAACCGAAGCACACAGTATTCAGACGGAACATTAAGATCATTCCCACTTTGTCGCACTGGGGCAGGTGAGGTGGGAGACTACAGCTCCCAGCATGCAATGCTCCATCTTGAGCCAAGTGGCCATGCTTTGGGCTCCAAGTGGAGCATTGCATGCTGGGAGCTATGTTCCCCTTGGGCTGCACCTCCCCATGGTGGCTGCATTGCATGGCTGTGCAGACACGCTCTCCGGTCGGGCCATAGCCAGGGGGTCCAGTGGGGCAGAAACTGATGTTTGTGGTGCCACGGCATGAACCCCAAAGCTGTTGTTCCGTTCTGTCCTGGCGGATCCAGCTCCATCCTAGAAGCTCCTTGCTGATGGGATGCACCCCCCCTCCTGTCCCCCCCAGTAGCTGTGGGTCCTCGAACCACGGGACATAGCTTTCAGCACCTTGGACAGATACCAGTGGAATGTGCTGATAGTCCTGGGACGAGCTGTCAGGGTCTGACATGACCCAGCGGCTGCTGCTTCCACTCCTGGAGCTACTCAGGCACTGACTGTCCTCATGGCCTTGGCATTATCTCACCAGTGCTGCACCGAACAGAGCAACGGGCCCCTCTAAACGGGTCCCCCCCCCCACGCCCTCTTGCTGCCCTGGATCAGCCCGGTGGGCTCATCTGGCCTGGTTCCCCCCTCCCCACCCGATCAGCACAGTGGGGTGGAATCCCAGAGTCAGCTGCTCTGGCTGTGGGCAGAAAGTGTCGTCCATCCCCCTCCCAGCACTTCCAGAGCCCATGAGCCCCTTGCCCCTGCAGCTGTACTAGTGAGCTGCTGGGTGGCTCCTGCCTGCGTGAGGGCAAAGCCTCGGACACCCCAGAGGGTGGGTGCCAGCGGCACGGCCCTGTCCGGGACAGAGATCTGGCTGGGGCGTGTCCCCAGGGGAGCGCTGGCAACACAAGGTCTTTTAGGGTCCAGCTCTGCCTAGCCCTGGGGGAGGCTCAGGATGGGCCCTTCCCACTCAAACTCTGTGTTTCTAGAGTGGTCCCCATGGGAAAAGGCAAGAACCCCGCTGATCTGTGGGCTGGGGCATGGCTCCCTCCAGCTGCCCCTGCCAGGGGTCATTTTTCCCTTCACATCCTCCATCCTTGTGCTGGTCTCAGCAGCAGCCTGGCCAATGGGGCAGCCTCCCCAGCAGCAGGAGTGAGAGCCCTTGAGGTGAGATGCAGCATGTGATGGGCTGGGATTCGAGCAGCAGCAGGGAGGTGCCACCAGACAGCCCGGGTGGCTGTGGCAGTGTAAAGTCAATGGGAGCAGCTCTGGAGAGGCCTGGGCACGGGGGTGCAGGGCAGGGTGCAGTCAGGGCGCGTCTTGGTGCTGCAGGACAGGAGAAGGTGCTGTCAGCTCAGAGACTGGGAGACATCAGGGCAGGGGGCAAGATTTGGTGGCGGTCTGGCTGTTTGTGGCCCTGACTCCTCCTGCAGCCTATGTGTCTGTGTACAGGGGGAGACCCCCCCCAACACTGGCAGCGGCTCTGTACTGACGAGGACCCTCAGCGACAGCCTGACCCCATGGCACCACTGGTATTCTGCTCGCCCCCCGGGACAGCAGGAGCTGGTCTGGGTCTGAACGGTGATGGGCTATGGCTGGGACCCGGCTCCGGGGAACCATGGAGCAGTGCTGGCGGTTCTCACTCTCCCCAGCCCTGCTCGCCTCCCATCTGGCTGCACATGCAGGGTTTGGAGATGGGCAGAGGCAGCCCGGCTGGCTTGGGAAGCTGGAGAGGGGTCTTCCACCCATCCCCTAAGCAGACAGGAGACAGCTACAAGGGCAGCAGGCAGGCGTTCATCTCCCCCTGGCCCCTGCTAATCAGGAAATGAGGAGTGATCAGGGAGCTGGTCTGTGGTGGGGCCTGGGAGAATAGTAGGAGGGCTCGCCCACTGGGAGGGGCCCCTGGAGACCCAGAGAGGAGAATGGGGGATGGCCGAGTATTCACCCTGGGATCGGATTACTGCCAAGGGGCTGTGCCAAAGCAGTGGGGTTGCTGGGGGCGGGGGCAGAGGAGGGGAGGGAGAGGGCAGCGAATGGCCATGGCTGCAGGGCTGGGGGTAACTGGGAGATCTCCAGGGGCTGGATGGGAGGGATCGAGCCAGGGCAGAGGAATGAATCAGTATGATAGGAGCTGCTAGAAGGCCCAGGTGTGAGTTGCTCTGCACAGAGCTAGTGAGAGACAGGCCCTGCTCCGGAGCACCTGGTCTAACCAGACAGACAGAGGGTGAGTTGCTGCAGTGTAACAAATGGGGACATGAGCCCTAGAGGTTGTGTCTTGCTGTGGGTCTCATGGGGTCTGACTGGGGCAGAACTGGGAGTTGAATGCAGAGCTCCTGGGTCCCAGGCCAGCCCTGGCCCAGGGCCAGCCTCCCTGGCAGGGGCAGAGCTGATCGTGACGGGATTCACAGATTTCAAGGCCAGAAGGGAGCACGGGTCATCCAGTCTTCTCTCCTGCCTAGCACCGGCCCTGGGACTGCCCTGAATTAACTCCTGCTTGGACGAGAGCAGATCCTTCCGAGTGTGCCCCTTGGTCTGAGACAGTCCCCTGGGTCCCCTTCCGGGCAGGTAAGGAGCAGGCCATGTTAAAGCCACAGTGTGTCCCAGACCGCGCTGTGTTTACATTGCAAATGCTTCCCTGCTCTTCCCCTGCTCACGCTATCTCCCAGTATGGCCTAGAGACGCCCAGCGTGTTTGGGTTTGTGGCCTTGCGGCAGGGAGAGCCTGCCAGGGCCTGGGGGAGGGGGAAGCTACCGAGAGAACTGTATAAAGAGCCGTGTTCAGAAACATAAACTGACCTTGTGCCTCTGGCTGCTGGCTGGGCCGCAGTCTGGGGCGGGGACGGGCTGAGCAGGGTTATCAAGCTGCTCTTGTACTGGGGAGTGCGGAGGGAGACAGCAGGGGCAGGGCATAGCAAGGGGGAGGAAGGGTGCAGGGCACTCCAGGATCAGCGATGGATAGAAAATCACATGCAAGGGGCCTAGTCATCTCCTGGCAGCGGGATATTAACCCATTGCATGTTCCTGGGAAGCAGCAGCCTGGGGTGGGGGGGTGCCTGAGCAGGGGGGGCAGTGAGTGAGGACCAGCTTGGGGGCAGTGAGCAGGGACCAGGAAGGGGGCAGTGAATGGGGACTAGGGTGTGTGCAGTGAGTAGGGGGGGTGCAGTAACGTGGGTGCAGTGAGCAGGGTGGGATTCCATGGTGTGGGTGCAGTGAGTGGAGGGGGTTTCTATGGTGGCAGTGTGTGGGGACAGGGTGGGTGCAGGGAGCAGGGTGGGGTGGGTGTGGGGATCAGGGTGGGATTCCGTGGCGGTGGGGAGCAGGGTGGGTCCCTGGGGATAGCAGTATGACATTGCTGTCCTGGAAACCCAGTCTGTTCATGGGTGGTGCTGAGTGGGCGCTCTTGATGGCCTAGGGGGTGAGGATCTGGGGTGTGGGCTGAGCAGGTTTGGGGGAGGACCATGGAGCAGCGTCACCCTGGGGCAGCCTTAGTGGCTGGTGTGTGGGATGGATGCCTTCTGCTCCCCCAGTGGGGTGCCATGGGGGCTCCAGGGAACCTCTGCCCCAGCCCCATCTCCCTCTCATCGCTGGCTGGTGGGAGGCATGGACAATCCCGTGATGTGTTGCCCTTCCCTGAAATGGCCGCCCTCTCGGGCTGCTCTCGCAGGGACCAGGGCACACCACTAACATGGCCACTGCTAGGCTGCGCCCTCATCAGAGATGGCCGTCCCAAGGGAAGCCAAGTCAGGCTGACCCTGGGAAGATGGTGGCCCCTGCAGTGTGAGGGCAGGAGAACGTGGGGGGCACGCAGGGGAGCTGTGTGGGGAAAGGAGAATTTGCAGGGGGTCGAGAATATGGGGGAAGGGACAGGGAGTGTGAAGGGTGGGAATAGGGTGACCAGATGTCCTGTTTTTAAAGGGACCGTCCTGATTTTGGGGACTTTTTCTTATATAGGTGCCTATTATCCCCCACCCCCATCCCGTTTTGTCACTGGTGCTATCTGGTACCCTAGGTGGGAAAGGACGGGCAAACAGTGGTAGGTGGGGGCAGCAGACTGGAGATCGGGTTACAAGGCAGGGGTGGGCAGGGCTGGCAGGGTGAGGAGGCTGGAGGTTGGCCCTGCATAGCCTTTTGGGTGAGGCTTCGGCTGCCCGGCAGGCAATGCCAGCCCTAGGCTTGCGGTGGGTTGTGGGGTCAGGCTGGGGGTTGGTGACGCAGGGAGAGATGCTCGGGGTGTCCAACCCTGCACAGGGACCCTGTGCCGAGGTTCTGGGAGCCGTGTCAGTGCCCAGGCCCTCCTGCCCCTCACGAGCCCCTGCCGGGGCACTGGCGGCAGGGCCTTGCCCTGGGGACTGTTGGGGGTTGGGACCAGGAGCCCGCAGGTGAGAGCACTGAGGCAGCTCGGCTCAGCTGCATGCAGGAGCAAGAGCTGCACAGACGGGGAGGGTCTGTGCTGGGGGCTGCAGGGAACCCCCACCGAGCCCCACCTCCGCCCCCCAATCCCTCGCAGCGTTTCTGCCTGGGGAGAGGTGGTTCCGCTCTGGGACACGCTGGGTCTGGGTGCCAAGTCTGTTCTCCCCAGGACACGCTCACTGCCAGTGCCTCTCCCACAGGCCTGGGGCACCCGGCAGAAACGGAGCGGGCTCCGAGCACAGAAGTGAGGGCAGGGCTGGACCCAGTCGCCTGGGTTCCTGCGGGGGCAGGAGGGGCTCTCTCCCCAGTTAGTCTCTGGGCCGCCCTCGCTCCTGCTAGCTGTCCGTGAGCAGCCGCATGGTCTGGGCCTGTGGGGAAAGCTGTGTCCCAGCAGGGCACACAAGCTTAGCCTTGGAGTGGGCCAGCGCCTGGGGCCGCAGCCATGGTGCTAGGCCCTGCGGGCGCACTTCACGTGCACCCAGCCCTGCGCACACGCATCTGTGGGGGTGGGTGAAGTATCCCTCGTCAGCGAGAGGTGTGTGTGTGGGTGGGGGGACACTTGCTGACCTCTCCTGGTCCCATCCAGCCCTGCATCGCTGAGCGTGTTATTCTGTCGCGGCGCACCCAGGCCCAGCACACACCGCACAGGCCAGGGCCGGCCCGAGAGGTCTCTCACTGCAGGCTCAGACACTACACAGGGGCTGAATAGCCAGACGTGGGGAGAGCTGCAGGGGAATGAGGTAACAGGCAGACCAGCCTTTGCATCCAATAGGAGCCACCCGTGGTGGGTCTGTGGATCCGGGGTTCTATCCAGTCCCTCAGGGGTGTCTCTGAGGCCAAGCTGACATGGGACACATTGTGGCATAGCAGTGTCAACAGAGATGGGGCACAGGGGAGTAATGAGGTGTGGGGCAGGGGAAGTGCTGGGTGGGCACCATCGTGGTAACATAGGGAGGGATGGGGGCAGGGGTGGTTGGTGCTGGTGGGGGACATAGGGAGGGGAGACCATGGAGGAGCCTGGCTGGGGGGTAGTGCCTGGGGCCAAAGGGGGTCCAGTGGGGGGCAGGACCAGAGCAGCGTGGGGGATGGGGTGCCTGGGGCCAGAGGGGGTCCGGTGGGGGGC